GCCATTCAGGTATTATAGCAGTCCACAATCTGTGAGCCCAGCCAGTAAATTAATTGGGTTTGGCTCGGGGCACTTCAAAGCATCTTTATTACAAATTTAACAATAAATTTACGTTGTAATTCAGAGCTCTCCTGATGGAGTCAGCCCTACAACTAACTAACACTGTCTGTCTGTCTGTCTGTCTGTCTCTCTCTCTCTCTCTCTCTCTCTCTCTCACTCTCACACACACACACACACACACACACACACGGTATGTAGGGAGTAAGGAAGTTCCTGCCGTTTGGAAGAGGGGCTGTTTTGGGGACAGCCCCCAGGCTCGTCAAGGGGATAGCTCCCGTGCTGCTGGTACCCCTGCCCTGGAAGACACACACGCAAGGGCAGAGGGAGTGTTTCAATGAACTGAAGACTTCCCACAGGCCATTCTGTTGGGCTGAGAGTTGATACTCTGGCTTGCTTACTAATCGTTGATGCTCCTGTTTTTTAAAACATTTCATTATAATTTTATCAAGGGCCCAGCTGTTTTGGTAAAAAGTTCAATATCCCAGCATGTTTTTTAAAAAAACCTCAGTCCAGCAGAGAAAGATCTTTTTAATGAGGATAAAACATGCTGCCTTTGCTATTTGTAAGGAAAAAAGGATGCCTTCTCCCTGTAGGCCTTGGGAAATCAGAATGGCTCCTGTGCCTTTGCTTGACCGCCGTCCCTGCGCCCTGCTCTGCTCTGCTTTGCTCTGCTCTCTCCAGCTGGACCTCTCCTGCTGCCCAAGAGGAGACAGCATAGCCGCCAAGGGACCCCCCAGACGCGCTCTTTCCTTTATTGTCAGCTGCAATTTGCCTCCTTTCTTTCTCCTCTTCTTTATTTTTAAGTGCCTTTGCAATTTCTTTTCCTGCTCTGGGGCAGAGCTGTTGAGACCTTCGGCTTTGTTTGGAGAGAGGGTGAGAGGAGACGGCTGAGTCTAGAAGGGCATGGGAGTTGCCATTCAAACACGTTCAGCCGCCTCTCCTGCCCGGATAAGCCATGCCAGGAGGGCGTTGGAGGGGAGCTCTAGGCAGCCGATGTGGGAAGATTAGCCAAGGCTGTTTAAAGGCAGCCCAGCATCTTCCCAAAGGGCAAATTGGGGCCTGGCTAGGGAGTGTTTACTGGAGGCGGGAGCAGAAGTGGGGAAGGGCGTTTTTTGCAAAGAAGGAAAACTGCAGGAACTTCTTGTGGATATGAGTAGACTGGTGTGTTTTCAGAAAGAAAAGGAATTTCGTTTCTGCGTATATTTAAATATACATTTAAATTCATGTGTTTGTTCACAGCACCATGGCACATGATGTTTTTTCCAAATTTATGGGCACAAGAGCCTGCCCCAAAAAACTTATAATAGAAAAAGTCAGCCTGGGAAATGGAAGGAGCTTCTCAAATTGATGTCTTCCATAATGTGTATGATTATAAAGCCCTGCATCTATCCCCTCTTTCTCCCCCTCCCTCCCTCCCTCACACATACACACAAAATGTTCACACACACACACACACACACACACCAGGCCTGGAGCAGTGATGGCAAACCTTTGGGGCTCTGTGTGTCAAAAATTTGGAAAACGCCTACCTTGTCTCTGGTGATCTCCCCCCCCCCCCAAAAAAAAACAAAAAACCTTTTTTCAATGTTTTTCTTCTCCCAGGATAAAGTCTTCTGGCTTTGTATTCTACTTTCAGACCATTTGAGAATTCCTTTTGAATTTCCCTTGGACACGTTTTGAGTTTTCTTGGAGCTGGTCAAGGAGGCTATTGTCCTTTTGACTGGGCTCCTGTCTTGAGCAGGGGGGTTGGGCTAGATGACCTCCAGGGTCCCTTCCAGTTCTATGTAACGAGGACAGGCATTTCCACCCATTTCCTCATATTATGCTGCAGTATTGTCTACACAGAATAAAAAGGGTCAAAGAAGCTGATGTCCAAGGCAGGACCTCTTCAGTGGTGGGTCCACCTCTTTTAAGAGTCCCCTTTTTTGAGTCTGAATTGAATTTCCAGTATTGCCAAGTGCTCCCTGCCAGCCCCTGTGCTTCTCTGTGGTTTAAATGGAAGGTTCTTCTATAATGAGTCCCCCTCCCTTTTTGGTTGCAATTTTAATCATTACAGCAGCTAAAAAATCAGCTTCCTGAGCTACATAAATAATAATTTGGTTTTACTCAGTTTTTCCGCCTTGCAGCAAGCATGCTTAAAAGAAAGTAAGATCAGAAGTAAGTGGAACTCACGCTGGATCTCTGTTTAAAAATTGTCAGCCAAATGTCCTTGCAGGGGGCAACATTTTTCACTTTGGGTGGCTGGCTCTGACCATTTCTTGACCAGATAGGAACTTGAAAAGGCTCGGGGGAAGGATTTAAACAGAGACGCAACTCCACCAAAGAGAAAGCCAAAAAGTCAGGCTGAGGGAAACTTCTGTAAAAAAAGTAGCAAATGGGAGCCCGAAAGAGAAAGAGGTGGAGACCACAAGCCCTTGGGATGAAAGGAAAAACTTCCTGCCAGCACCAGCAGACGACATTCATTAACACTACCCGTGTTCTTGGTAGTGTTGTTGCATTGCTAAATTAATTCCATATAAAATTAAGGACAAGCCTTATCACTTTATCCTCCCGCAGGTTAATTCTGCTTTGAATCAAGAGGAGCTGAAAGCAGATCCAGTCCAGTTGCACTGATGGGCTTAAAGCTGAGAGGACGTAACCCCTTCCTTCCATGCACAAAGCACTTTTGTAACCTTGGAGGTTCTGAGTCTTTTTTTTGGGGGGGGGGGGGTTGGCCTTTCCCACATGGAAAGCTGCACTGATCTTACAACATGTTGAGAATAATGGGTGAGGTCAGGATAAAAATGGGATTGGATTCATCTATATTTAAAACCAGCAAAATTAAATACGATAAAGTAATGCTCATCTCTTTCTGCCTTGTTAAACGTGTGATTTAGGAACAAAGAAGTCTTCAGGGGGTTTCAGGCGACCTTGAGTTCAAACAGAAGGAGGCTCTTCTGCTTGCTTGAATGAATGAATGAATGAATAAATAAATAAATAAATAAATAAATAGGCAAATGTAAGCAAGCAAGAAGAGAAGAGGTTTTAGACATGCTAGTACTGCTGGTGAAGATCATTACATTTATTTTGTAGGGAACTGTTCTGAATGCTATCTAGATAATTGTACTGTAAATGTTGTTGTTCTGATAATACTGATCTGGAATAACAGAGCAAAGGAGCTGTTCCAAAACTCTTAGTTTACTCCTGAGCAATGCTGGGGACAGATGGGGGGGGGGGAAGACAAAGAACACTCTTGCAACCACCTCTGGCACAAAGCTTTCCTCTCTGATCTCTAGATCATCTGAAAGCTCTCAAAACCCGACAAGGTCCTCATTACTGCACATAACCGGCTCGGTTGCTGCAGGAAAGTTCCCTGGTTCTCACCGATAACACCTTCAGCGTTGATGGTATCAGCGGTACCTCTAAAACCTGTGGATGTGTGTTGGCAACCCAACATTAGCAGGATTCCCAGGGTGTTCAAAGAAGTGGGCGTGGCCCCCATTGACATGAGCCAGCCCTTGCAAAGCACAGGATGGCTCAAGGATTTGGATCCGGGCAAGGTTTGGCCAAGCTGCTGTGGCGGGCAACCGACCGCCACCCAAACCTTCCTGCATTTTTGGGAACCCACCGCATAATTAGTGGCTATGGGGCAAGGTAACCAGCACGCGGAGGCTGACTGAGATGATTCCCTAATTAACTCCAACCCCAGCGATTTGGTGGCCGATGGGCTGAAGCCAGGAGTAGGAGGGAGCGATGGCCACTGAGCGGGGAGCAGAGCGGGGAGCGGGGTGTTCTGCAATATTAAATATCTCTATAATTAACCCAGAGGAGAGTAAGAAGGAAGGTATATTAATGAAATCTGCGGATGATTACTAAATTAGAAAGAACTGGAAACTCCAGATTAAGGACCGATAGTGGAAAGGAAATTATACATGAAGTGGGAAGACAAGGCAACATCAAAAGGAGGCTTCGATCTGGGCCATCCGGGGAGGAGGGAGGCAGCAGCCTGTCCCTAAACTACCCGCGTTGAGTCAAAAACTGCACCCAGATGCCTGGGGGGCCCTGGCTGCTGCTTCCGGAGAGATGATGCGGAGAAACAAGCCGGGGAAGGAGTGGGAAGAAGAGGCGCTCTCTGCCAGGAAGGGAAGTCGGCCATAGGAGACTTCGAAAGAGGGGAGATATTTTGCAGCCAGAAATGTGTGGCTTCTGGGACAAGGAGCCATGTGGGGGCTTTGCTTTTTAAGTAGCTGCGTTTGTGAGCCCCCAGACGGGAAACGGGGCCCCACCAGAGATGGCACCACACAGTTTCCCCCTTCCCAAAAGATGAGACGTGGCTGGAAAACGTTAAAAGAGAGGGAAGCAATCACAAAAAAATGCCTGGTTTGGATGCCATGTCTTCCGTTTCATAAACCACGATTCCTGAGCCGAGAACAGAAGCTGGTTAGGGAGGATTCCCCTTCTGCCCCCTTTCTCCCCGCAGGACTGGCTTGGCTGTTCCCATGGCTGCCTGTGGTGAGCAGGGGACATCTTGCCTGCCTTCCCCTGGGCCCCTGTCAGGGCTGTGTTTCTGCTGAGGACTCAGGATGTTGTGTGGTCCAAGCAGCGGTTGGGTCCTCCTGAATCGGAGCCCTCTGGGCGGGTCCTCTTTTGCGGGTCTCTGGGAGGGACTGCCTGGCTGGCTTCCTAGAGTCATCTGGGCTTCTCCTCTTCCCCAGTCAGCCCGTCCTGTGACTGTCATCAGTTCGCGGTTCTTGGTGGTATTCATGCCAGTGTGACTTGGCTCTTTGGGACGCCTGTGGTTTCTTCTGCAGGAGAGACTTAGTTTCTGCAGCCTCCTGCCCTGGAAATGAGTCTGGATGGCTCCGAGGAAAGCTGTGGGACCTTAGAAAGGATGTGCTGCGTTTCTGCCTCCCCTGGGCTGCTCTTCCTCTGTTGGCCAACTCTTTCCCTTTTCTCCCCAGAATAAGCCGCCTCTTTAATGGCACAGAGCCGATTGTCTTGGACAGTTTAAAACAACACTATTTCATTGATCGAGATGGTGAAATATTCAGATACATCTTGAGCTTCTTAAGAACTTCAAAGCTGCTGCTCCCGGAGGATTTTAAGGTAAGACAGGCAAGAAACCTGTAATCTGTTTTTTTCTTATTAATTAATTGATGTTTCTTTTAGAGCATCATCCTCTCTGGCGGAACAGATCACCGCAGGGGGTGCGAAAAGAGTTTTCAAGGCTCCTTGCCTTTCATTCTCCCATTCTCAAACTCCTGTCAGAGGCTGACACCATGCTTAGTTATTGCTTGCTTAACCACGGTTTGTTCAATAAACCACCACAGTTGTCTGGGTTCACACAACATGCTATACCAGGAAACTCAGTGTTTTCCAGACTGTGGGATGCATTTTATATTTGAGGGATGTGCCACAGACTCTTTCAGAAAAGAGATGGAGCCAGGATAACAACTAGATTAAAATAGAATTAAAGTGAATTCCAGGTAATTACGTATATATTGAATATAATGTTTCACATTCAAAGGTTATGATGGGTTGCCCACTTTTGCAGGAGTAGTGAACTCTCTGATTTTCAGGGCTGGGAACTAGCTCTGGGTCAACTGAGCTCAAAAAGTCAAGATGGTGCCCACAACCACACAGCCCCTAGTTTGATTAGTTTTGTTCTGTACTACAGATGCCCTTGACTGGGAACCAGCTTGTACTGCTCTCCCTCTGACTTCAGGTGACACATGTGGTTTGGTTTGGTGCATTCTGTGAACGTGGTGAGCTTTCTGGACATCTACTTTGAAAGGGGCACTTCCGCGTGAGCTTAGGACGGCGTTGGGCATTAGAATCGTCAGGCCTTGAATGGGTTGCAGCAGCAAGCCTACCAACAGAAGGCCTGGGCAATCTGGGGAGCACCGTGCCTAGGGTCAAGTTCCAGCTCCGTGCTCCTGCAGTTCAGGAAGGGCGCCCATGCCAAGCGCAGGTCTGCTTTGCTTCCTTGCAGGCCCTGTTGAACCGTTCCTGGCCAGCCCAGCTCCTTTGATGCTGTCAGATGTGTGTGTTTCCCTTCACCTTGTGCTCTGCTGCCGTTATTGGAACAGGGATGGGAGTAAAACTCCCACGTCGGAATAAGGAGCGTGCAGGCCTTGAAGCCTTCTCCAGCAAGGATCCACGTCTAAGATAGCCTGCTTAACTAGGCATCTTCCAGCTGAATTGGAAAAGCAGCAGGCTGAGTCAACCTCGAGCCCCATCAAGATCGAACTGCGGGCAGTGGGGACACAGGGTCAGCCCGCAGGACTTGCCTTCTGGCTGCTGCACCACCCCAGGGCTGTTGCAATAGCTACAGGATGGCAGGGATTGCTATTGCTAAGCAATACAGTCACACTTTACGACCACATTGCTTAGTGACAGAAATTCCCACCCCAGTTGCTGCCGTAAGTCAAGCATCGCCTCTGTAGCTGCAATATATTTCTATTCTGTCATTATTACTTTAAAAATACATAGTCATCCTTTAGAACAAAATCCCCATGGATGACTTAAGCCTTTTAAAAAAACACAATCCAAATATTTCCAGTATAATGGCAGCTGTATACCAAATAGTGATAATTTCTAGTGGAGGCGTAGAGAAGTATCTGATCCCAGACATTTAGAGTTTATAACAGGTTGTCTCAACCCCAGTAAATGTGTTTCAACTGAATTCAAAACAGCTTTTTGAACCTGAAACACTTGCAGCATAGTTGAAGCCTCCTGTTTCAAGCAGAGGAATGTTGAAATTTGAAACATTCTGAATTCAAACCATTAGTAGCAAAAAGTAAAGCAGCATAAATAAAATAAATTAAAAGACTCTATTGCAGCACAGTGTATTAAATTATTAACATATGCCAGGATATGAGCCTTTATTCCACTTGGGAAACAGAAATCTTTCATGAGGAACCACTGAGCCAAATTATGCCAGAAACTATAAATGTCTTCAGTAATGTGTTTCGGATGGTCAGGAGAAATAGGCTGTTTCGGTTGTGTTTCTAGAGTTGCAGAAATACGGGGTGCCACGTCGTCATGTCAAAATAGCAGGGAAATAGCAGGTGCTGCACTTCCTTAGCATGGAGCAGCAGGTCCTGAGTGACCAACCCCCCCCCTCTGGGGTTCCCAGCAGTTGGAGCCCTCTTGGGAGGCGATCAACATCTGCTCCACTTCAATGCTCCTTTTGCTATTAGGATTTGAGACACCTAAAAAAAGAATTGAAGACACATTTGGAGCCAGACTATGGACGTTCTTACAGAGGAAAACTGAACGTTTCATGCAACTCAGCCTGTGCAGTCAATGGGGTCTTCAGCATTTAACAGAAAAAGGCCCCAAATTCTCTCCACAAAGTTACCAGCCTGTAAAATCTGTCTAAATCTGAATTATCTGGTTGGAGAAAGGAACAAGCAGGAAGGGAGAAGATAACTTCCAAGGATGTATAAACTATAGAGTAGAGTAGGAGGGGAGGAGAGGAGAGGAGAGGAGAGGAGAAGAATAATTTTATTGTCACTTTGAATGTACATTAATTGGCATACATTAAAATGAAATTTCGTTGCATTCAGCTCTCAAAGGGTCACCACCTCCAATATACACTATATAAATATGACAAAAATAAATACACACACACACACACACAATTATCCATATACCCACATATGTTATATGACACAGAGAAACAACACAGTCCAGTTCGGATTATGTATACTTGTGCATGGCGAGTTTCCCAGAGGGAGGGCACAGGGGAGAAAGCTATGGGGGGACCCAAGATAGGCCAGACTGTTCCTTCAGGCTTTGGAAAGGGCGTCTCTTGTGAGCTTATCCAAGCACAGCTCAAGGCTGGCTTCTGGGACTTAGAAACCGATCCAGAGGATGGGAAGGAGTAAACAAAAGAAGATGCTATCTATAAAACAAAGGTGCTGGTATTTTTTATCTTTGCTATGAGACAGAACCATGCAAAATGTACAGGAAGGTGTCAATCCTTGCACCTCTTACTCCAGGAGTTTTTCCACCAGTTCCAGCAGGGTGGATTTTGGATGTGTGCTCTCCAGAGTTCTGCCTCTGTAGAGTCTTTTTTCAGACTAAGCAAGCGGTGAGCGTTGAAGACAATCATGCCGCTATGTTCCTAGCTAGCAGTTCTCTATTATCACATCTGGCTGGTGTGTTTACAGTGAATATTAACTACTGTTCCAGTTGCTAATAAGGCAAGGCTCAAAGTACTCTCTACCTTGGCTAGACCCTCCACTTAACTCTACAGCACATACCGGGAGCAGCAAGCAACAGAAGGACTTTGAGTTAGCAGTTATGGGTTTTTTTTAGAAGTCACAGGCACATGGAAACTGTCCTTGCAATTGTGAGAAGGCTTCCTCAGGAGTAGGCTGTGTGAGAGGTGGAGAACCCATTGGAGTCATGAGGGTTGCTCAGATCTTCAAGCTTCTGTTTCCAGCCCTGCACCCTCATGCAGCTCTGAGGGCTGAAATTAGGCCTTGTTTTAGCCAGCCTTCCCCAACCTCATCCGCTTTGGCTGTGCTCACTTAAGAGATGCAGTCCAAGCCTAGCTGAGGGCGGCAGCTCGGAGGAGATGGAGATAGTAACAGTGAGACTTGTTAGAGTTAGTGTTTGGATCATTTAAGACTTGAATAAGGTATTGTTGTTAATATTGTTGGAGAGTAACCATCTGTCTTGCCCTGTGAGATTCCTCCAGTTGGGCAGAGCTTGTATTTTAGCCATTTCCCCTTGGCAATGAACGCAAGAGGGGCTGGTCTTGTTTTCCAGCACCTTGAAAAAACATGGTCAGCACTTTTCCATTTGGATTCCCCATTTTCTGCCCTGAGTCACCTGTATAAAATGGGAGTAAAGCCTCCTTCTATCAGATAAGCAATATCAGATTGGCAGCTCTGTCGGCAGCTTCCGGGTGTAGCCAGCCGCCAGGCTGAGAAGGCGATTCCACTTCTGCCTTCAGAGTGTTTTGCGGGTGTTCCCCTGCTGGTTTGGGCTAAATGGCTCCCTCTTGAGCAAGTCAGTAAAATTACACTGAAGGATAATGTTCAGCAACCAGCTTTGCTTTCCAGGCTGCATACAAGACATTGAGCGTGTGGTCTCTGAAGAGCTGCCCTTGGAGACGTAGATTTAGAAGAAGCAGGGAGTTCTTGGGCAGAAGGAGAATGGGGGAAGAAGAATAGGTTGTGTTAAAAGTGTCCTTTTCAGAAAACTGTGCATAGATGAGAAGTGCTTTTTTTTCTTGTTCTGTTTGTCTCTCCATCCCTTTGACAGTCTTCTCCACATCCTCCATAGGCGACAGTCTTTGGAAGATGTGTTAAAGGGGAAGATGGTCAGAAAATATTTCACCCCTAACACCCATCTGTCAGCTGTATGAAGAAATAATTCTTATTTTCTAGCCAGCTCACAAGATAAGAATATTAGCAGTCTCTTGAGATTTCTCCTGTTGGGCCCAGTAATCCCAAATAGAAATAATTGGGCATAGTTCTCCACCCAAATATATTGGCATGTTTTCAAGTTATCTTAAAACAAAGCCTATAATTAGAGGAGGCACTCGCAGGTTGCCCTCTGGTAAATCTTTGCTGCACTGCTGGGAATAGATTCACTCCTGCCCTCCCCGGCCTGTGGCCATTTGGCCCATGAGAACAGATCACGAGTCCCCGTCTATCACTCTCCTTTTGGGTCTGGAGCTGCTCTTGGCCCTGTTCGCTGGGAGGTCCAGGAGTTGCTCCCAACACATCTGCAGGGCAAAGAATTGGAGCAGGCAGTGCAGAACAAGGGTGCAACCCAATCTTAATATTCTTTGCAAATATTAAGATGAGACTTCCTGTCTTCTCCAGGTGTGGCTCTCAAGTGCCATTCATGTTCTTGTAGGGTTGGCTGCCAGATCTTTGCAATGATTTGCTTAAACAATATCCTACGTTGGAGAGTTCTGCAGATTGCCTGCCAGATTTCTATAAGAGGGCGAAAGAATTGTTTTCCTTAAAAGCTTATTCGGCTTAGTACTTGCAACAATAAGAAGAGGAACAGAATCTTTGCCAGAAGGATCTCATAGGACAGGGGTCCCCAACGTTTCCACCTTGGTGGCCCGACCTAGCGGAGGGGGTGAGCGGCAGGCGCACAAGCACACACAAGTGGCGGGTGTGGGCAGCCTCCACTTGCACGAGTGGAGCTTTGTGCACGAGCAGAGGGTGCTCGCATTCCTGCGCAAAGCTACACTCACACGAGTGGAGGGTGCTTGAGCTTCAATTTACTGCAGGCAACCAGTCTGGTTCTTATATGCACAAGTGGAACCAAAGGAAGGCAGGCAAATACGCTGCAGTCCCAGCACCTTGGCCAGGCCAGAGTGAGCCTCCACAAGATGGCCGACAGGACTGCTTAAGCACCTCCCAGGGCAGGACTTTGGTCACATGGTTGCAGCTGCCATCTTGACTTTTTTTACTGCCCCCTGCTGCCCAAGCAAAAGGAAACGGACTTTTTGGCCTCGGTGGAATATTAACCTTTAAAAAAAAAAAAAAAGTCTCTGTTTGCAGGGGTGGGCACGATGCACCGGTTTTCCTAGCCTCTTCCTCTCCCTTCCATCCAAAGGACTTCAGTCTTTTGTATGAAGAAGCCAAGTATTACCAGCTGCAGCCGATGATCAAAGAACTGGAGCGATGGAAACAGGAGAAAGAGCAGCAGAAGCATTTCCAGCCCTGCGACTGCCTAGTGGTGAGGGTGACTCCAGATCTGGGCGAGCGGATCGCCTTGAGTGGGGAGAAGGCGCTCATTGAGGAGATCTTTCCGGAGACGGGGGATGTGATGTGCAACTCGGTGAATGCCGGCTGGAACCAGGACCCCACCCACGTCATCCGCTTCCCCTTGAACGGCTACTGCCGGCTGAACTCGGTCCAGGTACGTCTGCGTTGCTCTTCCGCCTTTTGCTGGCAGAGGAATCTCCCCCCCCCCCGCTTTTGTGTCCCTCCCTCTAGTGCCCAACCTGCACGGAGACCTGGTTTATGGCGAGCCCATGGACTGCTCAGTATATCCCCCCCCCCTTTTTTCCCTTTCTCTTCTCCTTGCCCCTCCCAAGTTCAAGCAGGAGAAAAAAATAGATTTAGATTTTGTATATGTTAGCACCATGCTGATCTCATAATGGTGTTAGCCTGACAAATGCTAATTTTTTTTCATCATCGCGTACCCTGCGGTCCTTTCTTCCTTCTACAATGCCCCTAGGAGGAAAAAAAACCCCTATCAAACTACGGTACGTACAGAAGGAGAAAAGAGGAGAAAAGGGGGAGAGAAATGTTTTGCATGCCACTTTGTAGAAAATGCAACAATGTATAAATGCATAATTTATGTCCTGCTCATAATTAAATGATAGAGCCTGCAGGATGGACTTTAAAATATGATCTCTGCACTTTTTCCCCCAAAAAGATGTATTGTAAAAATTGCCCGGAGTATTTAAAATAAAATGTGTTCCACTTTATACTCAAAGGTTTTCGTAGGGATTGACTGAGGGTTTTTTTTTCCTTCTATCCTTTTTTTAAAAAAGTTTTAAAATTAGGTCTTGAAACCAAGCTAGTTGGGCCGGCTGATCAGCAGGTGCGGGAGGAAGCAAGCGAGGGTCCTGTGCCCTTTGGCATCTCCTTTGGAAGAGTTCTCCCACCAAGGCTAGTCGCCCCCAGGAGGAGGGGGGACTGCTCAGCAGCTTTGATAGTGCCTCACTAATTAGGGAAGCCCAAAGGAGAAGGGTCTTCTTGGGTGAGATCTCCCTTAGGTGACGTGCAGGGGGAGTTAGTTTCTGGCCGAAGCTTCAGGCTGGGGGGAGCCAAGGGAGCCCCCAAGACCGTGGTCCTCGTCGTTATCTTGAGTGCCCAGTCCTGAAGAAGAGAAGGAGTAGCCCCAGAAGTCACCTCTGGCCCTTTTGGGTGATGCTGCTGGCTGAGGATGAAGTGGGAGATGAATCCCTACCCATTTGAATCCCAGTGGAATTTCTCCCCGCTGTTTTTAAATCAATTTCTTTATTAATAAAACGTGTTACATGCTTGACGTCACTGTCAACGATTGCAGGGTGGAATAGATGTAGGAATAAAAGTTATAAAATTACAACAGACTACAAAATGACAAAAATGGATTAAAATTATAACACAGCAGTGACATTAAAATATTAGAAATAGAAGAATACTTTAGAATAGAATAGAGCTGGAAGGGACCTTGGAGGTCTTCTAGTCCAGCCCCCTTCTCAAGCAGGAGAACCTATACCATATCAGACAAGTGAATGCCTGGCCTCTTTTTAAAAAATCTCCAGTGATGGAGCACCCAGAATTTCTGGAGGCAAGCTGTTCCACTGGTTAATTGTCCTCACTGTCAGGAAGTTTCTCCTTAATTCCAGGTTGCTTCTCTCTTTGGTCAGTTTCCAACCATTGTTTCTTGTCCTGCCCTCAGGCGCTTTGGAGAATAGCTTGACCCCCTCTTATTTGTGGCAGCCCCTCAAATACTGGAATACTGCTGTCATGTCTCCCCTATTTCTTCTTTTCTTTAGACTAGCCAAACCCAAGTCCTGCAGCCGTTCTTCGTATGTTTTAATCTCCAGGCCTTGGATCATCTTAGTTGCTCTTCTTTGTACTTATTCCAAAGTCTCAACATCTTTTGTGTAGTATGGTGACCAAAATTGGCTGCAGTATTCCAAGTGTGGTCTTAGTATGGTTTTATAAAGCGGTAATAATACTTCACGTGTTCTTGATTCTATGCCTCTGTTTATACAACCCAGGATTGTATTAGCTTTTCTGGCTGCTGCTGCTGCACACTGCTGGCTCATGGTCAAGTGAACGTCCACTAGGGCTCCAAGGTCCCTCTCACAGTTGCTCTTTTTAAGCTGTTTGACTCTGTGTTAGGATTTCTAGCAAGCCAATTCTGAAGCCCCTCAGTCTTCTCAGGATAATTTATATGATTTAACTACTGTAAAATCGGTCTATGCTCCTCGTGGTGGGCCACAAAGTTGATTTCCATTGGAAATGCATGTGTGCATCTATTGCTTATCAAAGAACTGCTGCCAGTGTTGAAATGAATAAGGGGCATTAAGAGCCCAATCTCCAGTATGAGTAGAAAAGGCCTCTCCTGAATTCTTGGCCTCCATCATGCCACCATTCACAGCAGCCCCTGATGGTCTTGCAAGCCGTTTTTTATATGCATCACGCAAGGGTGAATGAACAGGATGCTGGAATTCTTCCCTTTCTCCAGTTGCATTTCATCTCTTCAGTGGCACTGCCTTGCCATTCTGGATTGGTTATCTTGTTTTCAGACATAGAATAATATTGTTATAAAGTCTCACAGTGACTGCCAAGCACCACAACCCCCCTCCCCCCGAAACCACTTACAAGGAAAACCTCTAAAAGACAAATTGCACCAGTAAATATGTTTGCGGACGTCTGCACTGCTTCCCCACTTCCAACATTGCATATTCACGATGAGTCATAGCCTCATTTTGTTATGATGAAGCCCAAGTGTTGCTTTTCCTTAAGAGGTTGCATCAATATCACCACCAGCCAGTATGTTCCTCCATAATGTACTGAACTGCCCTGCAGAGCACTTGTTGGTTTGATTAATATTTGGCTTTGCTGTAGAGGTTTGCTGTAAGCAAGACTTCAATCACACTGTAGTCATTTAGGAATAACTTATAGAATTATCACTGCATAATATGCTAAGAGATCCTGAAAGACCAAGATGTATCATGTAGCTCCTAGCTCCTCTTCTGGGCCCTTTTAACATCTTTGGAACCAAGTACTTTGCAGAGTAATTTATACCCTAAACAAGTCCAGAAAACTAAAGTAACATTGAAAAAGTCCACTGTTAGGCTCAATTCAGAAGGCCTGCATTGAAATCCTTTTCCAACCGAATCACAGCAAGGTTACTTTATGCTTAAAAATGGAAGGACACGTTGATTCCCACAATGCACGAATAGCTGCAAAAGACGATGGAGTTAACAGAGATGGCTAAATTGACTGGCTTGATTAAAGAAAACATAATTTTGTTTCTATTTGGAAACCATTTTGGACTTTGTGCTTGAGGTGGGAAAAAAATGGAACTTTGATTTTGGGTTTTGCCGATTAAATACAGTAGGTTTGTTGTTATAGACATGGTTAGTTCATATTATTATATAAAAATAAAAAGTTGAGGTTTTATGCTATTACCTTATTATAATGCACCAAAAGGAGTTGGAAATCAATTCTTTTTCTTTCTTTCTTTCTCCCTTCTGCCCTACACTTTCCCCTTCCTTATTTCCTCCTTATTTCCTTTTGTATTTTTGTATTTTATATTACATTTGTATAAACTAATAAAAATTTTGAATGCAAAAAAGAAGAAGAATCTGCATCGTAGATAAGTGGGTAGGTGGGAGGTTAAATAAACTAAACATAAAATGTAGGCAGTATCTGTAATCAAATAGATTTGATTACCGTATATTTGATAGGAGAATGGAAGAAAGATCTGCAAATATGAAGAAAAGATGAATTAAAAAATGTGAAGAATCTGCAATACAGATGAGTGACACAGAAACATTCAACCAAGAGATGTAAAAAGATTTAAATAATGTGGCATTACTGGATTTAAAAGAGAAAGAACTTGCTTGGGGTTGAGAGTACTTAGAGAACAATCTGGCAAAGATAGTAAGTTGAGAGTTGCTGAAGCCTTAAAAAAAATAGAATGAGAAGAAGCTGACATGGTTGCAGAAATGGACAAGAATACAATATCAATACCAAAAATAAATGTACCAAGAAATATATTTGGGCACCTTGTCAGGAAGAAGACAAATTAATGCCAAGCTAAGGATCAATAATGCAGAGATACTGGATAAGAGACAGAATATAAAATTGACTCGTTTCATCAGGGACACGACAATAGGATTCTTTTAAAAATGCTGGAATTTTTTTTATACTTTTTGCTCAAAATGGACAAAAGTTATTTTTGGGCTTGCAAAGTGAAGGATATGGGAAGAAGTGAACTACGTATGCAATTTTAAAATGGGATGAATAATACTAATAATACTAAGCTTATAAGTGCTGTAAAAATACAAGTTACAGCATTTCTGTTTCTTTATAAATTATCTTTTATTTTCTGTACTTTCTAGCTTTCTCAATTTCACTTTTTGTATTTTATGTTTATCTTTCACTTGTTTAAAAATCTTTAATAAAAATTACATTTTTTTAAGAAAGAACGCTAAACTCAGGAACAGAAACCGCACAGCCAACAGTCAAGGATGGAGGAAAAATTGTAGTGTATCCTCAAGTGTATCATTTGTGGCCTAAAATTCTAGGCCTGAACTTTTTAGCCAAAAAGTCTTGCAGTTGAATCCAGGATTCTTTTCGCATCAAACACGTATTCTAAACAAACGAAGTTCCTTTAGGAATTTCAAGTTGCTTAGTTGTTAAGGCATTGGTGGCTTATTAAAGGATGGCGGGCCAGGCCATTTATGAAAGCCTTCCAGGTATCTTGAAGTAGCAATTTTTTTATTTCTGCCTATTTATTGGAAGATAGAGCCTACTGGAGTCAGGAAAGCATCTTTGGATCTTTCAGGGGTGCATTTTGTATGAAATCCTGTTCTAATATATTTCTTATTTTCCAAAACCTCCAGGTTCTTGAACGGTTGTTCCAGAAGGGATTTAATGTGGCAGCGTCCTGCGGTGGAGGTGTGGATTCCTCCCAGTTCAGTGAATATGTGCTGTGTCGTGAAGACAGGAGGCCACAGCCCAATACCACAATCAGAATAAAGCAGGAACCCCTAGATTAAGGACTGGCTCCCCTCCCTCCTTTCAGACAGTAGATGTGTCCAAGAGTCCCTCGAGTGGAAACACTCAGGACTCGCACGCCAGTATTATGCAGGAGCAGCCAGCCTGTTTCTGAAGCAACCCTGTTGCATGGCCAGCCATGACTCTCACGTGGAAACAAAGACAATGACACAACGTAGAGTTGTTTGTATTATTACTCAAGTCATCACAGTGCACTTGGAAGCCTGGCATTTGATGGGATTGTGTGCTTTTGGCACCTGGAAAGTAGTGATGCTTCTGTAAAGAACTGACTGGACTGAATTTGGTGGAAAAGACCAATTTGTGTAATTAAAGTACGTTTCATTGAAGGAATAAGCCCACCCGCTTTCTGGAGGACAGACCCTCCGTCCTACGAATGTGTCAAGATCTTGATAGCTGCCAGGAGGAAGCTGGTGGTACGCTGAGTGTCTTCCCTGAACCCTGTACGATCTCTGGACTGTCGGTCATATTTCCTATCGCCATTTGTTATTCATGATCTTTTTCTCATTTTATGGATTCTTTGTATTATGGCTTATTTTTCTGACCCCCTACAGTTGTCTTAGAGGAGCCAGTTCAGACAGGGACCAAAGCTGTTACGGTGCTGAACCTGATTTCATTCTTTCCAGTCCCACATATTTGCTGTCCTCCTTCCCCCATACACATATACATCTCAGACAGCTGCAAATTCTAACAAATTGAGGTTCAAATCAAGTCCTTTTGCAAAATTGTGTACCTTTAAATAGGTCCTGAGGTGAGCCCAAGTTAAATTATGCTGGTTTTTTATTGTCATTAAGAAGCGGAACTAGATAAATTGTGTCTCAGTCACCTTTCATTCTTCATTTGAATTCAGTCCCACATTGTCTTGACACATGGAAATGGATGATGCCAACATTGATGGGATGCGGTGTGCCATCTTTTTAAATGACACAAAAGTGTGATGCATTTCTTCTTTAAGCAACTACTTTAAATACTTTGCTTCCATTCTCAAATCCTTTGGCATCGGCATTCTTTGAGAAAATAAACTTGGCTTTCAATCTCTGAGCAGTCATGACAGTTCAGATGATCCAGGAAAATCTGCCCATTAAGCTGTGCCATAATTTGGTGTTGTATGAATTATTCTCTAGGTTGTATATCTTGATGGATAAGTTGGTGCATCCTTCCTGACCAAAGGACCTTCAGACGTGTTGGGGCTGCCATTTCCCAAAATCTAATGGATGTAACACATAGGAAGAGAGATGATGGACACAGTGCAATCACTAGCATTATTTACTTCACCCACTGATTGACTGGTTTTCACAAAACTCAAGAATCCAAGCCTGGGTCAACATGCAGATGGTGGGCTGCATTTATATGCCGTGCTATGCTCAAACACTGATGGCCTTTGGGACTTGGAAAGATGGCTTGAGTCACCCAGCTTGCTAAGGTAAAGACTTGGGTTCCTAGAATGCACTGAATCAGAAATATCTATTCCTCAACATGGTATAGCATGTTGTGTGCACCTTGCATTTGTGCAAGGTGTTTGAGCCTTGCGAGTAGTCCCAGTATGAGGCTCTGCTCAAAAGATTTAAGAAACGAGGGAAGGGAAGCTTTCCATCACTGATGCTCCCTGAGCAGAGCATTGACTGAGAATCCAGACATCCTGGCTAGTCTTTCTCATGTAACTTTTTGTACTGACAGAAAACTTCCTGGAGAACGTCACTTGAGTTGACCTATGAAATGTATCTGCAAGTTCACGGATCGAGTTAAGTTTATTTTTATTACTTATTCACAACCCATTTCTCATGAGCACAACTTCAAAAATCTAGGCTTGGAGAGAAATCTCTGTATCTGAGGAGTGTTCAGTTATAAATAGCGTACTTCATACTAAAAATGTGTATCAACTCTATCAGTTTAATGTGGAATCCTGGGGATTATAGTTCTGACAAGGTGCTAATCTGGCCAAGAACCTTCCTTACTCCCCCCCCCCTCAAAACAGCACTTCCCAAGATCCTCCACTGCAACAGCCTTGTACTTTGTTTAAGCCTGGAGGGCAAACCAAACTGCCAATTCAAAACATTTAGGAGAAAAGGAAATTTTCTTGAATTTGTAAACCTTCTAAATGGGTTAATAGCTCTAATTGCTTGAAGTTCAAGGAAAATAATGTATACCAAAATTTGGCAGGGGCACATGGAATGAAACAGCCCAGGACTAAAAACTCTCCCTTAGATTTTGGTGCCCCTTGTGAAGAATTTTGTTAATCAAATCTGGGATCCTGGCAAGCTGCTACTCTGAACAGAATTGCCCATTTATGAACTGGGCAGGACAGGTTTTTTTACATACATCATTTCATCAGCAAGAGTAATAAATTGAATTGCTACAAATAAAAACTCCCCACCAAATTTGTGGATAGGAAGGAATTTCACCAGAGTAAAGAGAGGTTCTCCAACAATTTAAAGGACAAATCTACAGTTAGTTGTGATTGGGGAGGAAGAGTGCCAAAATTTACAAGATGGCAGTCACCTGTTGCATTTTGCAAGATGCTGTCCCTGCAGTTTTGCTACCTTCTGCAAATGCTGCTGATGGCCACTAAAAAAGGCCAGGAGTTCTTCGTGACCTCTTGGGCTATAATGGAGACACAAGGAACCTGGAGACGGAGATCTGGGAGAGGATGGTGCCACCAAGAAAAACAGGACATGGACACACACACACACCTTAGCTACCTCAGAAGTAAACAAGTACAGAACCGTCACAACGCACCACTTTTTCACTAAAGTTCTTTTTCAAAGTACAGTTTTTTTAAGTACGCTACTTTCATCAAGTGAGAGCTGTTAAGCAAAAAAGTTAGAATTTCTCCATCTGCCCCCCCCCCAACAACCGGTTGAGAGTTATCTATGCAGAAAAGTTGCTGCATTGTACATTTTGTGCCATCAAGTTAGTTTAATATCTTTTCTAAATAAAATGTTTAGGTCTTAATGCCATCCCTTTTGTATGTAAGATACCTATTAAATTGTATTGTACTGTAAATGCTTAATATTGTACCTTCTCGGCATTCCTCCTGCCCTTCATAAAACCGATCGTGCAATGTGTCCATCAACCATTCTTTGGTGTTTGACAAACCCATAAAGTCAAAAACCAAATATGCAGAACTTTACTTTATTTCAGTGTCTGAGAACAGAATTTGGGTATTCAAATGAATTCTCCTGGAACATTCCTTCTGGCCTGTGTGCTTGAAACAGAGAAGAACGGGGCTCTCTCTCACCGTTCCCATTTATCTAGCTGGCTCCATGTAGTTTGGCCTTTTGCACCAAGAAACAGAACTTGATTTTTTTTTTTTTAATACATCAGTATTTCAGTTTGGCTCACAGTAGCTGTTCTGGGCATGTATCTAGACTAGTTGAGCACAAAATGTTTTTTAAATTAATGTTATTTTAGCTATAGAGTCATAACAGTTGAAATACAACATAGAAGTCTAGTACATCCAATAGTATTCAATCTTTCAAAGCCATTTATTTGTGAAAAAAAATCTCAGGCATATTAAAAATTCCTCATCTTTCCCTGACTCCAATTTCAGAAATGTTTTTGCCATCCAGGTTGACTGATTCACCTGTGAGGCTCTTTGCCTGTATCTGCAGTGACTGCTGTACCTGCTGGATATTCAATCTTGATGCAGTCATCATTTTACTGCACTCTACCATGTCTCTATTCTTTAAAAAAAAACATGAAAAAAAACAAAATCCCAAACCTCTCAGGTCAGAATACCCAGCTGGCTTCTGGATAAATGCCCTTTTCTGCAGGCAACCTTGGATAGCCAAATTGTGTGCCAGTCAAAATGACATCAGCTGTGTGTGATTCATGACCAAGATGCCAAGTCCTGCTGAAAGCACTGACTGAGGAAGAGTGTCCGCAGAGGATGTGGTCGAAAAGACGTGCACCAGACATTAAAAAAAATGGGTGATGCCATTGCGGTTGCCATCTTTTTTTATGATATCCTGTGAGGGACTCTTAGGAAAGATAAGCCATTAAAGTATGTTTCCACGACCTCTGAAAGGCTATGGCCCAAGTCTGCTCATGATTTTCCCACCCACTCTTTTTCATTCCTCTCTTACCATGTAGACATTTCAGGGCATTTCAACTTATGTAAATCAGCTTCAAACCTTGTTAAGTCTCCTGGGAAAGTCCTCCCATCAAAGGTTCCTGCAAATGGGAAACTGAGTCATGACTCCCAGAGCACTTGCTGAAGAACAGTAGTGAAATGTGAAGGATACATGGACACGCCACCTTAGAAGGAGATGCCTCCTCTTTAAAGCCTCTAATGCTTGGCTAACTGGCTTCAGGATGCAGTTAGGTTTTTGGTAGGTTGGGCTATAGTTTCTTTTTGCATGAAGACTGATGCAAAGAATGAGTTAAGCAGCTCTGCTTTCTCTCTATTGTCTGTTACTTCCTTACCATCTTCTCTCTTAAGTGGATCTACTGTTTCCTTGACTTTTTTCTTGTTATTTCTATGTTGAAAGAAACATTTTTATTATGTTTCACTTTTGTTGCAAGTCTTTATTCATTCTGAGCCTTTGCTTTCCTAACTTCATCTTTGTAGATTCAGGCTATATACTGGTATTCTGCCTTAGTTATGTGTCCCTCTTTCCATTCTTTGTACTTGTCCTTTTTGTTTTTCAGTTTAAACAAGGGCCATGTGGATTTAATTTTCTGGTCTGATCTACTGGTACGGCTGATACACACAAATCTCCACTTGTAAAGCATCCCTTTCTTCTAACTTCTCTCCTACAAGGCTGACATTTGCAGTAGGAAAATGATTGTGGGGGGGATATATACATCATGATTTATTGCTTCTCCATTCTAGATTTCTCCTTCACTTTCATCTATCCCAAGTTTTGGGTCAAGGTATATCCACAAACATTGATTTTTCAGGTATTCATTTATTTATGCATTTCTGTTTTCTGCAGAACGGGGTGCGTTTCTTTGATTCACTTCCACCTACCTTCCGATGTGA